AGCAGCAGCAGCAGCATCAAGGGCTGGCAGCGGCAGCGGCAGAGTGCGGCGCTGCAGCAGGAAGGGGCATGGGAGGAGGAGGAGGAGGAGGAGGAGGAGGAGGAGGAGGAGGAGGAGGAGGAGGAGGAGGAGGAGGAGGACGAGGAGGAGGAGGAGGAGGAGGAGGAGGAGCTGAGGAGCTGAGCGTGGGGAGAGGGGGAGGGGGAGGAGGACAAGTTAGGTGCGCTCGCGTCAACATCTGACATCCTACCCCTCCCTCCCATCCCTTACCATGGCGCTGATTCTCTCTATCCGCGGACGCGTGTCGTAGCGGACCTGTGGCTCCGCGCGCGTGTGCGTAGTGGGTGGTGGTGCGCGTGCGTGCGTGCGTGTGTGCGTGGTTGTGGTTGCTGTGGTGGTGGTGTGTATGTGTGTGTGTGTGTGCGTGTGTGCGCGTGTGCTGTGGTGTGACGTGGTGTGGCGTCTTGGTGGTTTGGTGGTGGGCCAGGTGCGTACGTGCGTGATGGCGGTGGTGGTGGTGGCGGTGGTGGTGTGTGTGTGTGTGTGCTGTGTGTGTGTGTGTGTGTGCGTGTGTGTGTGCGTGTGTGTGTGTGTGTGTGTGTGTGTGTGTGTGTGTGTGTGTGTGTGTGCGTGCGTGCGTGTGCGTGCGTGCGTGCGTGCGTGCGTGCGTGCGTGCGTGCGTGCGTGTGTGTCTGTGTGTGCGCGCGTGTGATGTGGTGTGACGCGGTGTAGCGTGGTGGTGGTGGATGGGGTAGTGCGGTGGTGGTGGCGGTGCGCGGTGGTGGTGCGCGTGCGTGCGTGCGTGCGTTGGTGGGTGGAAGTGGCGGTGGGTGTGCGTGCGGCGGGGCGGGGCGTGGTGCGGCGCGGTGGTGGCGGGCGGATGGGCGCGCGAGAAAGAGGCCCGCGCTGGGGCGAGAACGCCATCCTGAACGACGGAGGCAAAACACCGATCCGAAAATGAGGCCCACGCTGCAGCGGGAGCACGATTCGGAACGATTCGGGAGCAGAAATGAGGCCGGCGCCTCAGCGAGAGCAACATTTTGAAAAAACACGCAGGCGAAAACCCAACTCACGGGAATCCTGTGTGTAACAAAAACAATACGCGGGGGGGGTCGAATATTTTCAGGCCGCCTTCGGGGGAAGAGGGAGAGTAGTATTCATATTGAGTAATTGTGGAGGAGGATGAGGAGGAGGAGGAGGAGGAGGAGGAGGAGGAGGAGGAGGAGGAGGAGGAGGAGGAGGAGGGCGGCGGGAAGGAGGCGAACGCGCGGCGCAGCGGAGAGAAACCGAGCACCCAACACATGACTTTGAGGATGAATCCAGACCTGCGCAGTAACAGGAACACATCCTTCGCGATACCATGCAATCAACTGGCGAAAACATGGATAGTCTTTGACACGGCTCCAGGTCTCCCAGACCCTTGCCCGAAAATCAATGTTCACTTCACTGGGGCTGGACTGTAAGCGGACGCATGCCGGATATATGGGTCCGTCCAAACGAATCTAGCGCTGTTTGCGCAATTCAAACCTTCGTGAACGCATGGCTCAAACCAACTCACCGCGATCGCCATGTGTGCGGCGCGTGGCCCCTTCCGTGGCACTCTCGCGGGCCCCCCACGGAAGACACTATCAATCCTGCAATGCGGTTGTTCGGCGCCGACCGTGGAGGGAACTGTATGCGAATATAATAGACGAACAGAAACATTCGGGGGCGTGCGTGGCAGGGGGGCGAGGCGGTTGCGGGAGAGGAGAAGACTGGCCATCGCTCGGACGTCCATTCCCTGTGTCTTTTTCGGTTTCGTGCGTGGCTTTTTCGCCAAATGATCAAGGATGCTCCTCGATGGTCCTCGCCGAAGGAAAAATGCACACGTCCGAGCGATGCCAAGAAGAGGGGGTGGCATCCTCCTGGAAAGGAAACGGCATTTTTTTCCCTTGTTTCTATTCGCGATGACGCCCGTGACATGCACCGTCTTCTCCCCCCCCTTGTTGCCCCCCCTGGGCACGTCACGATTCGCGCCGGCGCCGTCTGCGAACTGGCCCCTCTCACGCATTCCCAGACGGCGCTGGCGCGAATCGTAGACCTGCCCCCGCCCCCTCCCGGCCACCCCCCACGGTCACGCCTGCTGTCGCCCGGGGATCAAAACACGAGCTCATATGGGAAGGGGACGAGAGGAACGACCTGGAGCGACGACGCAACGGGGGACGGACAAACAAAAAAGGGTTCCGTGGCGGCGCGTTTGCACGGCTCTGCTCGCGCAAGGTGGCGGACGTGCCCGACTGCTGGGAGAATGGAACTCCGCGCACGGCGCGGTCTGGCCCTCCACGGCCGCCCGCAGAAAGGGGCCGCAGCAAAGGCACGGGCGGCCAGGCGCAGGCAAGAGCTGCCGCGCCGGCCTTGAAAAGCAGCAGGAACAAGACAGGGCGCCTCTAGCAACGAGAGAGGCGCCCGATGGGCTGACATTATTGAACCAGGGTGCGCGTCGGATACATAGAACGTCTAGGCGCCATGCCCGGGCCCGCTCTCGCTCACGCACGCGCACATGCACCTCGCTCGTTTCAAACTCTACTCCCTTCTGATTTGGCTCGTTTCTGATTGTTCCTGCCCCCGGGATGATCACGAACGGCCTGGAGGAGGACGATCGGAAACAAACTGGAGGTGCCCGAAATCTGGCCTTCCTGGAAGAACTAGATGTTGCAGCACGTGGGCCCCCCGAAGGTTGTTCCTGCAACAGGTGCAGAGCTACATGTGCGTCTACATATACAGATGCATGTATGCATGTATGCTTGCTTTCACACATATATATATATATATACACATGTACGTATGTATACATAAATATATATACATGTTGCTTACTTTCTCGCCTCGTCGCTGCGCGCGAGGCCGCGACCGGCAGAAGTGTGCGTGCAGCCGAGCTATAGGTGTGCAAACAACCACTGGGGAGCACGACGCCCAAGGCCAGTGTGGCAGCCACCGGAAAGCACGACAACTGCGGCTTCAGGCGGCTGCTTGGACCTCCTCGTCCCCCTCGGCTCCCCCGCGCTCCCCGTCCCCCCTCCCTTCCTCTTCCCCGCAGGCCCCTGTCCCGTGCGTGCGGGGCCCTGGCTGCCACCCGTGCCCCCTCTCGCGTGCTCTCGCAGAGGGGAGGGGGCGACGTGTCCTCTTTGAGGGGACGGCCTCTCGGAGCCGCGGGCGAGGGTGGCAGCTCGACGGGTGGCTTTGGTACCCCTCGGGGGGGGGGGGAGGGGCGGAGCAAGCATGGCGGCGAGCGGCAGGAGGCGAAGGGGCAGGAGCGAGGGCAGAGGAGGGATAGGAGGAGGCATGCGAGGGGAGAGGAGAGGAGGAGAGGAGAGGAGAGACCGAGGGGAGAGGAGAGACAGAGGGGAGGAGAAGCGGGAGAGCAGAGGACCGAAGGCAATAGGGATCCGGAGGCCCCTGGCCTCTGGAGGACCCTGGACGCCCCCCAAACCTCGATCCTCCTTCTCCTCCTCGAGCCGTCTTCTCCTCCTCCTTCTCCTCCTCCTCCTTCTCCTCCTCCTCCTCCTCCTCCTCCTCCTCGATCCTCCTCCTCCTCTGCCTGTGGAGCTCGTGGGATCCAGTCGAGAACGCCCGCGGCCACGAACGACTACCTGGTGAGAGCCCGCCACTTCGCCGCGCCGCCAGTGCGCGTGCCGAGGCCGCTCCGTGCTGTCCCCAGCCTTGCCCCCTTGCGGAGCGCAAGCGTTGCGACCCTCGGAGAGGCTCGAGGGCCCCCTCGTGCAGGCCTCTCAGAGAGCCCTCGAGGAGAAGCCCAGAGAGGCAACAACGCCCGAGAAGGCCCCAGGATGAGCCAGAAAGGCTCCGGGCTGTGTCCCCAACCTTGCCCCTTGGGGGGCCCCACGAGTGCGCGCCTCTCGGGAAGGCTCCTGGGGACGCCTGGCAGATGCCCGAGGGGCTTCTCGGAGGGGCCTGCGGTCGGGAACCGCTGCTCCGCGTGTCGCGGCATCGGCCCCAGCGGCACGCCATGCCTTGCGCTCCGCTCCGCGGGGCGGGAGGCCGGGAACGGCTCTGGACGTTGACGCTTGGGGACTTGGACGTGGATAGCGTGTCGTGCCAAGGCGTGGCGAGAAATCGTCTGCGCGACACGCTAAGCCAAAGTGCCTGACCGTAAAGGAGCCTCTCGGAGAAGTCCAGGCATGCAACAACACCCGAGAAAACCCGAGACGAACCATGAGGGTCCCGCGACGACGCACGGAGCCCCCCCTCCACCGCATCGAGGCTAGCATGCGCCCGTGTTGCTCCAGGAACCTACGAAAGCTTTCTGAAGGAGCAGATCGGCCCGAAGCCAAGCACACCGACGGGGGTTACGCGGCAGCGCAGCTGGTATCGATGGCTTGGCGATTCTGAGTTCTGATGCCTAACTCTTGCGCCAGATCCAAGCCCTGCTGCAAGTTACCTCTGCCGATGCTGCCCCTCCGGACCCTTCCACCTCTTCTCCTCTCCTTTCCGCTCCATCTCTCCTGCACCAGTACGCAATCCCGCTCCTGCTTCTCCTGGTCCTGATCGCCCTCCTCCAGCTCCCACTCCTGCCCTCCTCCCTATCCTCCCGGCTGCAGTGCCCCCTCGGTGAAGCGACAGGGAGGAGGAAGAGGAGGAAGAGGAGGGGGAGGAGGAGGAGGAGGAGGAGGAGGAGGAGGAGGAGGTGGAGGAGGAGGAGGAGGAGGAGGAGGAGGAGGAGGAGGAGGAGGAGGAGGAGGAGGATGACGAGGCGGAGCAGGAAGGGAGGGGCGAGGAGGAGGCGGAGGTGGAGGGCAGGAGGAGGAGGAGGAGGCGGAGGCGGAGGAGGAGGAGGAGGAGGAGGAGGAGGAGGAGGCGGAGGAGGAGGAGGAGGAGCTTCTCCCTCCTGCCCCTCCTCCTGACCGCCGCGCTCCAGCTCCCCCCTCCCGACGGCCGCCCTCCTGCGCCGCCCCCTGGCGGCCGCGGCGAGCGACGGCGCCGCCGCCCGACCGCGCGCCCCGCCCTCACTGGAACCTCGGCGGGCCGGGGCGGGCAATGACCCGAGCGACGGGAAGCGCGACGCCCGGCACGCAGATGCACGCGGGAGTCTGTGTCCACGCTTGGTGGCGATCGGATCAGCTCGTACACAAACACATAAATGCGTGTGTGTGTGTGTGTGTGTGTGTGTGTGTGTGTGTGTGTGTGTGTGTGTGTGTGTGTCTGTGAGTGTGTGTGTGTGTGTGTGTGAACAGCCCCCCCGCACCCATTCTCACCAGCATTCGCTTGCGACGGTGGTGCTCTTCCTTTCCTTCTTCTCCTCCTCGTCTTTCTCTGTCTCTCTCTCTCTCTCTTATGTTTCTCTCTCTCTCTCTTTCTCTCTGTCTTTCTGTCTCTCTCTCTCTGCCTCTCTCTCTCTCTCATGTTTTTTCCTCTCTCTCTCATTCTCCCTCTCTCTCTCTCAAGTCAAGAAGCCATGAGTTCGTATTTTGATTAGTCGTTTTTTTCCCCACATCCAAAGTGGGGTTCTTGTTTTCTCTGCACACCCCGCGCAGGAACACTCACCCCACCCCCTCTCCTCTTCTGCCTCATCATGCGGATGAGAATTCCGTCGTCACTTTTGGGCTCCTGGGGCGTGAATTTGGAGGAAGTATCAGGCGGGAGCGTCGTCTGTGAGTGAATTGCGAGGAAGTCTCAGGCGGGAGCCCCCTCCCTATGGGTCCCGCACTTCATGTTGGTAATCCGAGGCGGGTCATCGGAACCTTGTAACTGTCGTCACTTTTGGGCTCCTGGGGCGTGAATTTGGAGGAAGTATCAAGCGGGAGCGTCGTCTGTGAGTGAATTGCGAGGAAGTCTCAGGCGGGAGCCCCCTCCCTATGGGGCCCGCACTTCATGTTGGTAATCCGAGGCGGGTCATCGGAACCCTGTAACTGTCGTCACTTTTGGGCTCCTGGGGCGTGAATATGGAGGAAGTATCAAGCGGGAGCGTCGTCTGTGAGTGAATTGCGAGGAAGTCTCAGGCGGGAGCCCCTCCCTATGGGGCCCGCACTTCATGTTGGTAATCCGAGGCGGGTCATCGGAACCCTGTAACTGTCGTCACTTTTGGGCTCCTGGGGGGTGAATATGGAGGAAGTATCAAGCGGGAGCGTCGTCTGTGAGTGAATTGCGAGGAAGTCTCAGGCGGGAGCCCCCTCCCTATGGGGCCCGCAGATCATGTTGGTAATCTGAGCGGGTCATCGGAACCCTGTAACTGTCGTCACTTTTGGGCTCCCCAGGCCTGAAAATAGCGGAAGTCTCAGGCGGGAGCCTCGTCTGTGAGTGAATTGGGAGGAAGTCTCAGGCGGGAGCTCCCTCCCTATGGGGCCTGCAGATTATGTTGGTAATCCGAGCGGGTCATCGGAACCCTGTAACTGTCGTCACTTTTGGGCTCCTCAAGCCTGAATATGGAGGAAGTCTCAGGCGGGAGCCTCGTCTGTGAGTGAATTCTGAGGAAGGCTCAAGCGGGAGCCCCCTCCCTATGGGGCCCGCAGATCATGTTGGTAATCCGAGCGGGTCATCGGAACCCTGTAACTGTCGTCACTTTTGGGCTCGTCAAGCCTGAATTTGGAGGAAGTCTCTGGCGGGAGCCTCGTCTTTGAGTGAATTGTGAAGAAGTCTCAGGCGGGAGCCCCCTCCCTATGGGGCCCGCAGATCATGTTGGTAATCCGAGCGGGTCATCGGAACCCTGTAACTGTCGTCACTTTTGGGCTCCTCAAGCCTGAATATGGAGGAAGTCTCAGGCGGGAGCCTCGTCTGTGAGTGAATTGGGAGGAAGTCTCAGGCGGGAGCCCCTCCCTATGGGGCCCGCAGATCATGTTGGTAATCCGAGCGGGTCATCGGAACCCTGTAACTGTCGTCACTTTTGGGCTCGTCAAGCCTGAATTTGGAGGAAGTCTCAGGCGGGAGCCTCGTCTGTGAGTGAATTGTGAGGAAGTCTCAGGCGGGAGCCCCCTCCCTATGGGGCCCGCAGATCATGTTGGTAATCCGAGCGGGTCATCGGAACCCTGTAACTGTCGTCACTTTTGGGCTCCTCAAGCCTGAATATGGAGGAAGTCTCAGGCGGGAGCCTCGTCTGTGAGTGAACTGCGAGGAAGTCTCAGGCGGGAGCCCCCTCCCTATGGGGCCCGCAGATCATGTTGGTAATCCGAGCAGGTCATCCAAAACCTGTAACTGTCGTCAATGTTGGGTTCTCGCGCTGCCAGAACGCAGTTCCCAGGCCACACTTTGGATGCAACAAGGAAGTTTTTGGGCTCCTCAGGTCGCCGAGGTGCTGCGACAGGGCGCCGAAGGCGCCGACGACGACGGCCAGGCCGAGGCGCGGGCGCGGAGCTTGCTGATGTTCAGGCCCAGCGAAAGGGAGTTCACATGGCAGAGCTCGGGGGCGCACAGCGTGCGCCGCTCGGGGTTCACCCTGACGCACGCGTCCTACCTGACCTCCACGCTGTCGCAGGGCCAGACGCTGCGCAAGGGCGTCACCATCGACTGCGCGAGAGACGAGGACGCTGGCCGCACGGGCATGTCGGACGAGCAGTGGTGGCTGCACCTCTACGTCATGTTCTCCCGCGCCACGTGCATGCGGAACATGCTGATCCTGCGGCCGCCGCCGCGAGAGTTCCTGGAGTGCGGGCCGCCGGCGTCCCTGCGGAAGGCGCTCCTGGAGTTCGACAAGAGAACGGTTTTGTCCAGGGCGGAGGCGAAGCAGCTCGCGGCAGAGCTGGGCTTCGTGCTGCCTTCCGCCTGAGCGCGGCTGCGCCTCGCTCGAAGCCCGCGGGGTTGTCCCAACGGCTTGGTCTTGCGCGCCAACGGCTCGCGGGGTTGTCCCGACAGCCTGGCCCGCGGGGTTGTCCCAACGGCTGCGCGACGTGACCTGTAGAGAACGCGCCTGTGCTGGCCGTGGCGGCGACGGCGCCGAGGAACATCGACATGCGCGCTCATGCAACAGGAAGGGGAGGAGGTGGCGGGGCGCGGAACAAACAGGGGGGCGAGGATGGGGACAACGTAAGGAGTGGAAGGGGGGCCCGCGCCAAGGCGAGAGGAAATATACGCAGAAGAGACAGCCAGGACGCTTCACCAACCACGAGGACGACGGTGATGGCTTTTTCCAGATTCGCCCAGAGGATTCTTATGTGGGGTTCTTCCGTCGGAGTAATTTGTTTATTTTTGTTTTCTTTTTTTTGTTCCCAACCATCCTGTGGTGTTGGGTCCTCGTTTTGAAGAGACAGCGCCCCGCGTCCCACCTCCTCTCCTCCTCCTCCCCCCTCCTCGCCCTCCTCCCTCCTCCCCCTCCTTGCCTCTGCTCTCGGCACACCCCTCACACGCTTCGTAGCCCCATAGGGAGCTCCACCGAAGGCCCCATGGCTGCCGTCCGCATGCGTCCCGCACACCCATTTCGGCACACCCCTCACACGTTTCGTGGCCCCACAGGGAGCTCCACCGAAGGCCCCAGTGCTGCCGTCCGCATGCGTCCCGCACACCCATTTCGGCACACCCCTCACACGTTTCGTGGCCCCATAGGGAGCTCCACCGAAGGCCCCAGGCTGCCGTCCGCATGCGTCCCGCACACCCATTTCGGCACACCCCTCACACGTTTCGTGGCCCCACAGGGAGCTCCACCGAAGGCCCCAGTGCTGCCGTCCGCATGCGTCCCGCGCACCCATTTCGGCACACCCCTCACACGTTTCGTGGCCCCATAGGGAGCTCCACCGAAGGCCCCATGGCTGCCGTCCGCATGCGTCCCGCACACCCATTTCGGCACACCCCTCACACGTTTCGTGGCCCCACAGGGAGCTCCACCGAAGGCCCCAGTGCTGCCGTCCGCATGCGTCCCGCACACCCATTTCGGCACACCCCTCACACGTTTCGTGGCCCCATAGGGAGCTCCACCGAAGGCCCCATGGCTGCCGTCCGCATGCGTCCCGCACACCCATTTCGGCACACCCCTCACACGTTTCGTGGCCCCACAGGGAGCTCCACCGAAGGCCCCAGTGCTGCCGTCCGCATGCGTCCCGCACACCCATTTCGGCACACCCCTCACACGTTTCGTGGCCCCATAGGGAGCTCCACCGAAGGCCCCATGGCTGCCGTCCGCATGCGTCCCGCACACCCATTTCGGCACACCCCTCACACGTTTCGTGGCCCCACAGGGAGCTCCACCGAAGGCCCCAGTGCTGCCGTCCGCATGCGTCCCGCACACCCATTTCGGCACACCCCTCACACGTTTCGTGGCCCCACAGGGAGCTCCACCGAAGGCCCCAGTGCTGCCGTCCGCATGCGTCCCGCACACCCATTTCGGCACACCCCTCACACGTTTCGTGGCCCCACAGGGAGCTCCACCGAAGGCCCCAGTGCTGCCGTCCGCATGCGTCCCGCACACCCATTTCGGCACACCCCTCACACGTTTCGTGGCCCCACAGGGAGCTCCACCGAAGGCCCCATGGCTGCCGTCCGCATGCGTCCCGCACACCCATTTCGGCACACCCCTCACACGTTTCGTGGCCCCACAGGGAGCTCCACCGAAGGCCCCAGTGCTGCCGTCCGCATGCGTCCCGCACACCCATTTCGGCACACCCCTCACACGTTTCGTGGCCCCATAGGGAGTTTCTGGCCCCACTCCACCGAAGGCCCCATGGCTGCCGTCCGCATGCGTCCCGCACACCCATTTCGGCACACCCCTCACACGTTTCGTGGCCCCACAGGGAGCTCCACCGAAGGCCCCAGTGCTGCCGTCCGCATGCGTCCCGCACACCAGGTGTGTGGCGTGCCGACATGGGCGTCGCGGCGCGCGGGCGCTGCCGTCGGGGTTCCCAGGGAAGCCCCCTGCAGAGGCGACGCTCAGAGTCACGAGTACCGAGAGTCACGCAGACCCAAACTGTTCACAGTCGTATACATACATTTACACTGGGCGTATCCATGCACGCATTCATGCGAATAGAATCAATCGCGCGCAGATTCATTCATAATCAGACTCGCTCGCGATCCGACTCGCACGCGCTCAAGCT